CACACACACACACACACACACACATAAATAAAATTAAAAACAAAAAAAACTTATATTCTAATAAAATGGAAAATACAAAAGAAATGGACAGATTCCTAGATACATCCTGCTGAGGTCCCTCTACCCCAGATCCCTTGATTCATTACACAATGTTTTTAACCTGGCATGCCCAGGTATTAATGAAATTCTTCTCATGGTCCTTCCCTCTGACTTTCCCAAAAGGGGCTTTTGTCACTTCTCAGAGAAGCTATAGCTAGATGATGACCCAGAAACCCCAGGAGTCTTTACCAACCATTAGCAATATTGTCCTTTCCTTACCTAGTAAGATATGTATGATTGAATTTTTATATTAGCCTCCTTTATCAGGCTTATACATAGATATCTGATGGCAATAATAATCTAATTAATTGAGAAAAATTAGAAAATATCCATTGGAACAAGGGCTAACATCTCATCATAGAGAGGAAAAGAAACCAACTAACAAAATAGGGATCAGTGGAGTACCTACAGGTAGTTGTTAGCAGTGTGAGGGAAACTGAGGCTGACCTCTGCAGGTGATGTTGGTGAAAGCCTGCCCACTCAAGTCACTGTGGGCAAAAGAGGTCAGTGGACAAGACACTGGGTGAACCAAGCAAAAAGAACAAGATAGGACAAGCATGAGTATTTCTGCTCTGTCTTATCAAGCTCATTTTCTGAGTCAGCTCTGTGCTGAACTAATTTTGGTTTATTCCCTTGCTTTGATGGCCTGTTTGTCCTAAAGTTTCACATGGAGGGGGCCTGCCCCTTAGCTCAGTTCTTTAAGTGGCTGCTTCAACAAAGCAGTCAGGCTCAGGTTGCTGTGGTTCGATCCTCACGACTCAAGCCAGCCAAACCTGCCCTGAAGGCATTCGGAGAAAAAAAAAAAAAAAATCCTATAGTTTCACATGGAAACCCTCCAGCCTATCTCCCCACCTACAAGATCAGCTATCATTTGTATATGACCAAGGCTCTTGGCTAAACCTCCCAAGGTCTTACAACTGGCAAAAATTCAGGACCCAGGTCCAACCCACGTCCATCCATCACTGTGGCCAAAGAAAAAGACTGGATTTCAAAAACTAAAAATTGGGGCTGGTAAGATAGCTCAGTGGTCTAAGTGCCTGCTAGGTTCAATCCCTGGTACTACATGCTTTGTCAGCCCCATGCCAAGCTGGCCACAAAACCAGGAGTGGTGGTACACGCCTGTAATCCCAGCACTAGGTAGGCTGAGATAGGAGGATCACAGTGAGTTTGAGCTGCACAGCAAGACCGTATACCAAATAAATAAATTAATAAAAGATTTTTTAAAAATCTAAAAATTAGGGGCTGGTGAGATGGCTCAGTGGTCTAAAGCACCTACTTAGAACAAGCTTAGCAAAGCACATGGACCATGGTTCAATCCCCCAGCACCA